ATCCGGTTTTTAAACCATTGATATAAACCATCCACTAGCATCCTCACGAATCCGAGACAAGGTAGCCACAGATGACAAGCGATAAGAACCATATTTGGATCGTCACAAATGAAGATTAGGGGTTTAAGAGTCCTCTACCTGAAACAGGGCTCACATGTCCTGAAAATTGCAGCATGATCATACAAAGATGAAGTAAGGTAGCACTGCTCATACAAAGGACCAGATTGTCACTCTTCGAATTGTTCAGAATTTTATTTGTAAGTCTTCACTAAAATCACGGAATCATATGACCATTGAGGTGATGAAAAGTTTAGGACATTATCTATAAAAAGAGGAAAGCTTCAATCACCTTTTGGTCCGGTTTTCCAACATCCAAATCATCATAATCATGGTCAGAGTAGGCTCACAGATTGGTTGCATGTTCACAACCCATCCATTGCCTCGATTGATTGCAGGCTCGCACCTTGTCCACCATGGACCCTTTCCACATGGTCAATCTCTATGTGCTCTCCACTGAGCACTGATTTGAGTTCATAAGATTAATCCTCTACTTCCGCCAAGGTTCTAAACGAGGGTAAATGCCTAGGTTGATTTCAAGTCTCACATTCCAAGCTTAACACTCAGTCTCACTCCCAATGCGAGATTTTCTTTTTCTAACCTAACCCCTAGTACCAGATTAATGAGGGTAAATTCTGAGCTTGAGGTGAGGTCTTGCATTTGATCTGACAGTCTAATTCCCCTAGGATAACAAGTGTACAGCAATCCCTTGGCTTAAGGTTAGGCTTGTGAGTCATCCTTCACTCAGGTTCTGTATCAAGCATGAAAGACTCCCCGAGAGCATGAAAGACTCCCCGAGGGTGCATTTGGATTCCTTTCAAACCATCACTTGAGCCTTTGGAGGGCATTTTGAAATTCAACCGTTTTGCAACATGCGCAGATGCCAACATGAAATAACAGTCCATTTGCAAATAAGGGGCAAGACCAGTGTTTCAAAAAGTGGACCGCCCAGCACCTGGGCAGCGACCTAGGCGGTTTTTGGGGCCTAGGCGCAATGCCTAGGCCTAGGCCCCCAAAAGAAGCGGATATCCCTAGGCGCCCGAGAACCCACCTAGGCGTCCGCCTGAACCGCAGCCTAAGGGTGGAAATGGCCCTGGTTGAAAGTATTTCTGGATCATTTTTTTAATACTAAAGGTGCAAAATTATGGGTTTTAGGTTCATTTGAAACCTAAAACCATTAGAGCCTAATATAGAGAGAGAAAAACCCAAAAAAAAAAAGAAAAAGATTTCTACTGGGCCGCCCAGGTTCTGAGAGCCCGCCTAGGCATTGGGCGGCTTGGACGCCCCCGACCGCCTAGGTGCTGCCTAGCACTTTTTGAAACACTGGGCAAGGCAGCAAATAGCTTTTTTCTTACAAAACGATGATTGCATCGTCCAGCCTCACAGACAAATATGTTCTCAAAGAAGCCCTCAAATTAATCAAAAACCCACCATCATCATTCGTCTTCTTCCTGTGAGGGTTGGACTCATATCCATAACTAATCATTGTTTTGATACTTCTAGACATTATATAGAAGCAATTGGTTAATTTCTTCCTGTAATTTAACTGACTAAAAGCCCTAACTGACCATTAATAGGATCCTCAAAAACATTATTGGGAAAAAAACACCCCAAAGATTTCTTGCCCTAGTCCAAATGTCTAAAGAACTAATCCTCTGCAAGAATTTAAAGCAGAGGCCCTAGTTTTTTTTTTTTGAGAGAAATTCACTGTAATTGCATTACTAAGTAGTAAAAGATTACAAGAAATTCAAGATGTATGGTGACCCACAAGGATCACTCTATACAAGCCTAAAAGGGTCAAAAAAATGTACAAAATGGATAGACAATTCAGAGCGCTTGAGGAGATAAGGTGGCCACAAAAACTAGCTCCCCAAAAGGGAGTTGGAACATGCCCCATCCTTTGCCAAAAAATTAGCCTCTAAATTGGCTTCTCTATAAGCGTGGCACCAAGCAATATTGTAACTCCTGGTTAAATGCAATATCTGTTCGAAAATGTTGTCGAGACACCAACGCCACAATGAGCGATTAGATGCCCAAGAGATGATATTCTTAGTGTCTCCTTCAACTACCAGATCGTGACTCCATGAAGGAACAAACTTGCGAAGGCCCTCCAAGAGGGTAAGAGCCTTAGCAAGAGTGGTGTCCGCTACTTCAATAGGTCGGGAGAAGGACAACAATTACAGCCATCACTTACACGAAAGAGACCCCCTATACCTCACGGTCCTGGGTTGCCAAGGGAGCAACTGTCAAAGTTGAGCTTAATAGCTCCCTATTCATGAGGTCTCCACAAAAATTCCCTCAAGATTCTTGGTTGGGCTCACTGCATTAGGTCGGGCTAGTTACTGTGGAAATCAGTGAATGAGGAACTCCTAAATAGCTTGTGATTGGTAGCCCAGAAAGCCACTAGGTTTTTTATTTTCTCCACTAACTGATCAGCCATGGAACTCTCTAGCTTGAAAATTTTGTTGTTTCCCTCTATCCATAGTACCCAAATAGTTGCTAAGATTGATGCTTTCCTTAGGAATCTACCTATCTTGGGCCATGGTGTGAAGAGATTAGCTTGGAACAAGTGGAGGATTGAGCTTGGGGTGCCCATTCAAACAATTACAAAATTCTTTTCCATTCTGCTCTAGAGAACTCACAATGGAGAAGTAAATGTTTATTAGATTCTTCATCCTCCAAACACAAAGCGCACATGTTGGGAAGTTGTACTCCTCTTCTTTAAACTGATCAACTGTTAGCAATCTCTCATGGAGTGCAATCCATACAAGCACTTGTATTCTAGGTGGGATGAAGGGATTCCAAGCTTTTGAGGCTAAGGCTAAATTGGGGCCAAAGGGATTAGAGTAGGAAATGATTGTACAAAAGAAAGGAGACTAAGAATTTGCCCGAGGCTTGAGGGCCCAAATTATCCTATCAGCTCCAAATGAAGGAAAACAGTGTGAAGTCTTGCGGCCAGAGAATTAAAGTCTTCGAGCTCATGGTCAAAGAGGGCTCTCCTAAATAAAGGCGTCCAGGTCCTGGCAGAACCAGAGGCGCTAAAATTTTCGCTCCCACTTGGACAATAACCTTCACTCTTTTTTACATTAATAACCATAGTACTCCTGTTCTTTACATCTCCAATGGTACGGCTGCATAAGTCGCCTGTCCTGTCGTTGGTAGCACAAACAAAGGTCCTGTGTACCTGCGATGTACGTCAATATCCGCTTAACTGCCTACCTATCTGGATTACACAAGAATCTGCTCATCAAGCCTACTGAATTGAATAGACTATGTTTGCCATAGCATACATCAAGCTGCCTACAACACCTCGGGAGTTTGTGTCATCCTCAACAAAACTAGTGTTAAGACGTGTGCTTAGACTCTTTATAATTTATGGAGTTTGAACTGGTTGACAACCAGTCATACCTCTTTTGCACCTCCAGAGCATCCAAGGCTAAAAGAAAAAGGTTAGAGTGTTGCTCTTTAAAAGGGGCATGACCACACAAGGTATCAATCCAGAATTTGACCCTTGTCCCCTCCTTATGCCAGAATTGAACTTGTTCGAGGAAAGAGTTCTGGCTTCGAAGGGCGGACCTCCAAAAACCTGAAATATGCCCTCTAGTCTTGCATTCAGGGGTCCAAAGGTCACCACCAAAATAGTATTTGTGCTTGATAACCTCCATCCAAAGATGTCCAGATTGGCCCTAGATTTCAAGAGCTGAAACTGTAATTCCCGAATTATAGAAGGAAAAACCTATAAACCCTCGAAATTCATATTATGATCAATAAAGCCATTACCATCAAAGATTCGGGGTTTAATAGATGACTTTCTGACGCTTTGGACGACACAATTTTTCCAACGAATTGTTGCAAAGTCACCTGTGCAATTCAGGGTTTTCTATGGTTAGGTTCTTCCATTGAAAAGAGATGAAAAATGAAATTAATCTTCTTCACAGATGAGGGTACCCTTGTCCATGAGCTGCTACAAAACATGTGCAGAATAAAGATTGACTCCAAACTAACAGGAACCCACTCTATGAATACTATTTCCTTATCCCATAGATCCTTCCCAAAGCCCCAAGATTCCTCACCTGCCTGACCGAATGCACACCTTTAGTGATGCAATAGTAGGCTATCCTCTGTTTGTGTGCCATGTACCTTCCGCTCCAAAACAAAAAAAGGTGTTCCATTATGCTTCACACCAAAGTGCTACGCAATGTCATCCGCAAGCGAATGTTAACATCTTGAAAATACAACATTGAGAGTTCCAATACACTGACAGAGAATACTAAAACATAAAAAAGAAAAGCAAAATGGTTAATTAGGAAATAAAATGTCCATCAAGACATTAATGATCTCAAGTCCTTGAGGCTATACAATAATAATGTTTCTAGGATACCTCTAGTGAACATTAAAAAACTGTTTTGAAGGCATGTTTGGAGAGTATAAGAGCAAATGCATCGTCAAAACAACTAAGAACTTTTGTTGACGAAATAATGTTCATAGAAGTTGTAGGTCTAACTCCCAAAACAAAAATGAAGGTTACAAGTCATAACTATGTAAGCCCCTCGGGCAAAAAAAACACTTTGTAGCATGAATTTAAAGAAGAAAAAACAAGCTTTGTATATTCCTATTTTGACCATTGATACTCTTATATAAAACAAACTATCTCCACCATGGCCCGTCCCAACCCGATCAAGCCAATCCCAAGCCCGGATAAAGGAGGAGGGTTGTGTTAGGTAGGGCAGCCAGGGTAAAACTTTGCCACATTTTTCATGATAGTTGATCCCAAATAGTACGGATAAGGCTTGGAGGAGGACGAGCAGGATGATGATGATGATGATATGAAACAAAGTATCTCAAAGGAATTCTAACAAAACAAATGAAGCATGGTATGATTGAATTGGATTTGTACATGAAGTCATAATGTTCCAACCTATATGCTAACATGAGATAACCCAAGTCCTCCAAAATATAATAATGAATTGCAATTGTTATCTCTTGCAAGTGTTTAGTAACCAGCAACCTTTTGGTCTTGTGATGATTTCTCCTCCTGGAATGCATCCCTCAAGTCACTAATGACCTATTGTGAAAACAAAAGCACACCAATCACATCAGCACAACAGTGAGAGAAGGTTGTCTTGAATGCTAATGCATAATTAGAAGCAAAATTAAACAGCTCTGTCATTGCAAATTTTAATATAACACAATGATGATAAATAAATCAAGCATGATACACAAATTAAACAATATTAATTGCCAAAAATTCAATGAAACAAACTCTCAAACCTTCTGTACTTCATATGTTTGAGAAACATACTTCTCCAACAAATAATTCCGACGAGCCTTGTTTATAATTTTGTCATCAACATCGGTCACATTCATTACATAGATCACACCATAGTCAAAGTACCTCTGTCAAAGAATAAGCTATGTAAGATCTGATATAGAAAAACTATATAAAAATCAATGTTTCAAAAAGCGTTGGGCGATGCCTAGGCGGCCGGGGGGGCCAGGCCGACCAACGCTTAGGCAAACGCCCAGAACCTAGGTAGACCAATAGAAAGAAAAGTTGTACCGTATAAAATAGGTTCTAATGGGGAATCTGTAAAATAGGCCCATTAGAAAGAAAAGTCGGACGCCCAGAAACTAATTTTTTAGAGGCTTTTCTCTCTCTAAATAGGCTGCTCTAATGGGGTTTAGGTTTCAAATGAACCTAAAACCGACCCTTATCCCCTTTTTAATTCAAAAAAAAAACCAAAAATGCCCCTCAACAAGGAGCATTTCCACTCCTGGATAGGGGCAAGCCCTAGGCAGTCATCCAAGGCTTGGCACTGGGCTGTCCGCCTTTTAGAACACTAATAGAAATAGCATAGTACAATGCAAGACTAAACTAACAATTTCAAATAAACTAAAACCCATCAAAAATGGCATGTTTCATGGTTAGTGAAACCTCTCTAGAAGTTAACTACAATCAAGCCATGTACCTCGAGAATTCGGCGAATGATGTCAAAAGTAACATAAGTTCTAGCATGCCCTAAGTGTGATGAATCATAGACAGTTGGGCCACAAATATACCATGTCACTGGAAAATAAAGACAAAATTAAGCCACAAAAAAAAAAACTAAACAAGAAGATGAATCTTTTTAACGAAAAATAGATAAGAGAAACTATCAAGGACACAATATCTTTTTTTTTAGATTTTTTTTATGAGTAAAATCAACAAAACAAGATTCATTCATCAAAAGAAATAAGGCAAGCAAAGTTCGATGCATAGCATTGTTCCAAAAGGCGGATTGAGTAGCACGGTCCAGGGGCCTGGGTGGCCTCAAGGGCCAATTATAAGATCAAAAAGTTACAATGAAAAAAAAAAAAAGTGGTGGTTAAGTTCATTTCAAACAAACCTAAACCCCATTAGAGTATATTTAGAGAGATAAAAAATTAGATTGGTTTCTCAAAGTTACGAGAAATGAATATAAAAATCACCCATTCAGATTAGATTTTTTTTTAGAATATTTTGATATTAAAAAACATGTCAAGGTGGAAGTTTGGCGATCGACCAATGAAAGTTAGTGCAAAATTTTAGTTTTTAGATTGGTATAATACTCTAATTCCTCATGGTTTGAACTTTAAACTTCAAAGTTTGATTTTTTAATTTGAAATGCATGGAATTATGGAATAAAATATGTCTCTATATATATTTTTTACTTTTTTGCATGACCCTAAAACAACTTTTTATTTTATTCCCGCTTACGGCGGCCTTATGTCAGGCTGCCTAGGTGCCCCAGCGTTTTTTGGAAGACACTGATGCATACACAGATGAAAAGGAAAGGGAGGGGGGAGAAGTCTATTTAATTTTTCAATTTTGATAGAAAAACATGATAGAAGTTACAATTGAACCACGTAATACCTGTAAATAAATTAAAAACTATTATCAAGAGAAATAATCGATATCCGCAAGAACTTTAGCAGCGAGAACACTCACCTAACTTCGATCCATCCCTAGTAACAAAGAGATCTTTATTGCCTGTTAGACTGTTGTGGATACGAAGACCTTCACCTACTGAAAAGCAATTGTTTTGCTCAATTTCACTAGAATGCAATCCATTCACCTCCATCATAACTCTGATAAGAGCAATTAACCAGGCAACCTCGAGTGAGCAGCAAGTGAACGAGATGAAATAAGAGAACTGGGCAAGGAAATTTCTCTAAGAAAGGGAACTATACATGTTAAAGCTGGTAGAGAGAGAAAGAAACTTGGTAGAGAGAGAAAGAAACTTGGTAGAGAGAGGGAGAGGGAGAGAAAGAGCAGTGAAGAGGGATCGATGGAAGAAGGTTAGATGTAACCCTAGAGACAATTTACAATTGGGACTTTTACAAAAAGCAGGACCATGGAGAAGGAACCCACAAAATCAAATGAATAACAAATAAACACAGAAAAACGGAATAATACAAACAAATAAGGAAACCCTATGATTCCATATTATGGGCAACCTAGAATTTCTCCCACAGATGATAAACCAAATCGAGCATTTTTACCACTAAAAAAATGAATAACAACCAATATCACACGATCTTAGAAGATCTTCGCACAGAGAAACCCTAATTTTTCGAGCAAGAGAATTAGGTATATAGAAATAAAAAAACCTATTAATGGAGGGTGGAGGGTGGGAGGTCGGTGACTCGAAAAAGCCCAGGAACAATGGAGCTCGACCTACTGATGATTCCCCCAACAATAGATTTTTCGAGCTCTTAGTAAATATCCGTGTGAGCAGTGTGAGAGAGGGCGTAGAGAGGGCTCTCTGTGAACTGTTTCTCAATGGGGGACGAGGACTCTGCTAACTGCTTCTCAAAAGAGGAACTAGGGTTATCGGGGTTCGTAAAAACAGTTCACCTTTTTCTTAACGCGAGTGAGGAAGATGAACAATGCCGTTGAAGAGGGTTTTGCCGTATGAGAAAACGGGTACGGGCGGAACGCGAGAGAGAGATAGGGTTTCAAAGGTCCGTTCAAAAAAGAAAGAGAATTGGGTTCGAAAGCGGGCCACGGTTCCACTATTACCAAAAGGGCGAAGTTTATATAGAGCCGAGGCTCTAACCAATCATATTTGAGCCTACCTCAAAACTCTCGCTAAAAGATGTTTTGATGCTCAAATATTTTCAAATTGATCATCTCAACATCATCAAGATGTATGAAAATTAAGAAAAAAACGAATTTCAACTTTTAAAAATAATATATTTTGTAATGGTTTTTTTTATCGTCAATTTTTATAATTTTCAAGTGTTCATAAATCTATCGATCGATGCTATTTTTTTAAGCTTCAAACTTTATAAATAAATATGAAAATATATTTTAAAGCTATCATAAAGATCTTTCATATTAAAACCATATTTCTCAATACTATTTGAAGGTAAGCTCCAATTTGATTGTTTATAGCATAGGCTCTACACAAACCGCACCCTTACCAAAATCCCTAGTAAGATGTTTTCAGTATTACAAAAATCGCCTGCAAGAAATATTACATTTATACCAACAAAAAATATTACATTTATAACCCACAAGATAGAAATATTACGTTTATACCTAATTTGTGCAAATTTTAATTTTCTCAAAATGCGGTAACTTTGGATTTTGAGAATACAAAGTTTTCAACTTAGTTTCTTTTTACAATATTTCTATATGACTCAAAAAAATTAAAAACTTTGGATTCTTAAAATCACTTGAAAAAATAAATTCATCTAAATACAAACTTTGGATTATCAAAATCCGAAATGTTTAATTGTCAAAATAATTTTGCCTCTAAAAAAATCTTCTCAAAAAATAAAGAAAAACTTCGAATTCTCAAAATCCAAATAATTACCAAAATATGACGTTTTCACTTGAGCAAAAAAAACTTCACCACCAAAAGTCTTGCCTCAATTTTTTTTTTCCATAAAGCTTAAAATTCTTAAAATCGAAAATTTTTACTTGGCAACAAAAGCAAAAATGAAAAAGGTGGTACATCAAACTTCCGATACTCAAAACCGGAAGTTTAGGTATTTTTATGATGCAAATAAAAAAAGGGTTTTTTTATTTTTAAAATTTTAAAATTTTAAATTTATAAATTTTGGAAAATATGTTGAGTGTTTTTGTTTTCTTTATGATTATTCTTGTCTTTTTAATGGTAGATACTTAAGGGGTAAAATAGTAGTACCTAAGAGACTTTAGTTATAGAGATTTAAAGTGCATAATAGTTGGTTGTTATTTGTTAATGGGTTGATAACCATCACAAAAGGGAAAAGAAAAAAAGAAATGGACTAAGAAGTGCATTGAGATGGACAAGAGCTTTCTATAATTGATGGGTTTTACCTAAGGTTTAGAGTGATAGATGGAGAGAGAAAATTGTTGGAGAGAGAGAGAGAAAGAGAGTTTATTTTTTGTGAGGTTTTTTTATTATAGAAAAATACACAATGAGACCATTTATCTTTGGTACAAGGTGATCACAATTAATCTTGACCATAGGATATAAACTTTGATGGTTGCATTTATTCTATTAACCAATCTCGAACTTTAAAAAAAAATCTCAAATTTTGGGACGCATCTAACCTATGGTTGTAAGTAATTGTGACCTCTTTGTATCAAAGGTAAATAGTCTCATTGTATACAATCCCTTTTATTATTATTATTTAAGTTTTATTTAAAAGGAAAATGCCTTTCTATAAACAGATGATTGGTGATTGAACAAAGAGTTTTATCGTGTAACCAGTTTCCGACCGTTATTTTTATTTTTCTAATTTATTATTTTCTCTCTAGAAAGCCGCACCCCTACTTTCACAGAGCTCTCTCTGGCGTGTCGACAGGGTTGTTGGACAGCGGTTGTACTCTTAGATTCCATTCTCTTACTCTCGCTAGAAATTCAGGGTGGCTCGATATATCTAGGAACCGTGATTCTTTGGGTCTTAAGAGTGGACTTTTTTTATGTAACATAGAGTTTCTCTATCTAAATTTAATGGAGTGGTTTTCTGAGTATGCAAAGGTAGATGTTTTATAACATCAAAACATCTGCAGAGGAAGATTTGTAAAGGATGTCTCACCTCTTTTTCCCATCCATCAAGTTACTCTCTCTAATAATTCTCCCTGCTCCTGCTTTCTAAGTTCTTCTCATTCTCTCTGTCTTGTACATTTATAGGAATAAACTGCAGATCTAGAGAGAGATGAATCACTATAATTAAGTTCTTAAATTGTGTAAATTGGGTTTGGGATTTCTTATCAATTTCTTTAAATTTCATATTTAGAGTTATTTTTCTGCCATTTTCGACTGCTCTATAGAGATCACTGGTCAAAACTTTTTTTTATGTAATGAGAAAAATAAAGAAAAAATATGAATTTGGAATTTACTGCAACGCATCCAAACAGACATATCTGGCAAATAAAATTTTCTTTTCATATTTTAATAGACATCCAAACAAATCTACCAATATAATAAAATAAAACGATAATGTTTCTCAATTGAGGAGGAAAAAGAATAACATTTTTTTTCAATGTGAATATTTATTTTTTTGACATCCAAATCGGGCCTAAAGTATTACAGTTTTTATGCCCGTTGATGATAAAAAAATGTTGAGATGAAAAGCAAAAGTTGGATCTATGAGGAGGTTAAAAAATAGTAGCCCCACTCAAACTCGCTACTTTTAACGAGTCCACGTAGAAATGAGTCACCTCTTAAAAATCTATTTTTAAAATGGAGCTTTGGACTTAATTTTTAAGGACATGTAATCTCTAATCTGAAGAACATGAATATAAAAAAATAAATAAATTTAAAATATTAAAAATAATAGTTTTATCAAGAAAACATTTAGACCATTAGTTTCAATTGTTTTTAGATGGACCACCACTTTGCATCCATCTTTAAGATGGATTTGATGGATGCTTTATACCTTGGGACTGCATATTGTAAATTGCGGTCCAACCTGTATGAAACAATTTTCCTAATGATAATTTTATCATGCACTTAAACTTGGAGTTGGAATCCCATTTGTTAGTATATCGTAAATTGAAATCAATTTAATATTTCATGTATGAAAATCCGCTATGTCCATCATCTATATGTGAACAACAATGTATGTTGTCTACGAGGCTAGTATGAAAGGTGTATATTATAATCAATATATATGGAAAGGGTAGGTGCAATATTATGTATTTTATGGTAAGTGTAGGTTGTTGGCACGTGTAGCTATAAAGCCTCACATTGCTTCACATATGGGCCTCATTTATTTTAGGGAAAATATCTTTATACCCTGTATTTAAGGTTTCTTTTCTCAATGGACCCAAGGTTTCAAATATATATTAGGGGCATAAACATTCTATGTAATATTCTAACCATCTTGATCAACTTTACCTACTTTGACCCTTTTTTTCTGGCCCAAACAATTCTTAAAAAGACAAACCCTTTGTAATAAATTTTTAGAGGTGCTATTTAAATATGACAAATCTCTAGTGAGATAATTACCTTGGAGTTCGACTTGAATAAGATTTGGGACAGAGAGAAAACCTTTCAAGATCAAAACAATAAAGTAATTCTCTCCCATTATAATTTTAGAGAGAGAAACACATTCCCATTATAATTCTAGAGAGAGAAACATATTCACCAAGGGACTATTCTAGCCAGAGAAACACATTCACCAGGGGACTCTGGTATCGGACCGAACATGAAGTTGTTCAGGGTTATGAGAGTGGTAAGCTTTCCACCATAGCAAAGCTGAGGTGAGGTGGAATTGAACTAATGAGCTAGTTTGATGAGATATCCAAAAGAATGAGATTACCATTCATTCCAAGTTGTTGAGGAACACTTCCTATAAAATGTTCTCCCACAACTGAAGGATCTGGAGCTCACGCAAATCCCCAACAAAATCAGGAATTGAGTCGTGAAGCCAATTTTGGAAGAGATTCAATAGGGTTAGGTTCTTGAGCTCCGAAAACTCCACAAGGATTTGTTCATCAAGCATGTTATTGGTCATATCCATGAATTTCCAGCTCTTCAAGCTTCCAAGCTCAAGCATAATCAGACCAAAAAAGGCCATTAACCTGCAAAAATAGGGTGTCGAGCTTCTGCAACTTTCTAAGCTCTAGTGGAATCAAACCAGAGAGGGCGCAGTTTGCCATATCTAACCTCACAAGCTCTGATAGGTTCTCGAGCTCGGACGGTATGCCACCTCTATAACTTGTTGGGCTTATGTGGCCTTTAAAGGCCTTATGAGTGATTGTGAGGAGACATCATAAACTCAGTGGGAGTATGGTCCTTCATGGACCATACCATACAAACAATGTTTGCAGATACCGGACTGTGCTTGACGGTCTAAGCCAGTCGGTTGGAAAAAACCCATGTTACCTAGGTATAAGAGAATTAATCGAAAAGAGTTCTAATGAGCCATCCCTTGATGAGGTAGGAGTATATGCCTGGATGAGTGAGCCGAGGGACTGTGTGACCCTTGTGTGTGATGGTGGTATACAGAGATGGGAGCCAAAGCCTCATTCATGTACCATCACACGGCTTGCATATTGATAAACCATTCGGGAAAACAAGCAAGCCACCTTTTAGGGGTGAAGCATATGCATGTGCGAGAGATACTCCTATGCGACATAGAGTTGCAGTCGCATCAGGTTTAGGTAACCTTGACTCATCTCTAGAGGAGATCTTGAAATCCACATACTAAGATTGCGGCCCCTTGGCTCATCAACCAGACTTTAGTGACCCGCTAATGAGCCCTTGCTTAGACTGTAGGTCATGAGCAACGCTGGGTCGGCATGATAAAGAAAGTGTGGTCTATAGTCTACCGTTGAAGGTAGAGTGCCCCATTATTGATTTAGTACCTTGACCATATGGATAATTTTCCCATTAAATTAATTTAATT